TCCCACACCCTGTGATTGCGATCAAATCCTTTCTCGTTTTCACGGCTCATGCGTTGCGATGTTTCGCAGGCCATCCATGTATGGAATAAAATGGATTATGGTAACCACATTCGGGTCATACATGGGGATCAATAAATACCTCAATGAGTTTAACTATGTTTAAATGAATGATATCAACAACTCCAGTCACATTCGTCTGGCCTTCGTCGTCCCATCACCAAACCATCCCAGTCTTCAGCAAACCCTACTCCGCACCCTCCGCGCCCTCTGCGCCCTGACTGCGCCCCGGACGGAACTTTCGGAGACAAAGGCCTCCGAGCAAAGATGGGGGCAAAAGCAGAACACTCCCTCCAGGGTGAGCCGCTGGATGCTGTACTGTGTGTGTTTTCTTGTAGAACAGGTTTTCTTGCTGGGGATGAGTGTGGCTGATGAGAAGATCTGGTCACTCCGGACTCAACGAGTTTGGATCGGATCCTGTGGCAAAAGCTTTGCCTTCGTTCGAAGGAGCATAGTGGCATAGTAGTTCTCTATACTTATGTTGACATAACGTGCGAAGGCAACGAAGCTGCAGCTCCCCAGCTTCGTTTGCATGGACATGTGACATGACGCAACAGCTTCAAACAGAAGTCCGTGATGCTCCGCGGTACGTACTCAGTACATCTCAGTACTCATCACAAGTTCAGTGGTTCCAGTTAGTTCATATTTTTGGGGGTACGACATGAGCACTTCTCCATGAGTCCAGCACTTCTCCAACGACTCGACCAACTGTGACATCTAACAGCTTTTCAGCACATGGCCCATTGGCCCATTGGTGCTGATGTGTTTACATGCCTCTGCCTGATCAAGGTACGCTCAAGGTGCTGTCAAATAAGAATGAATGAGACCCGCCAGGATTGACTTGGTGGGTTGGCCCCTTCTAGCTCTTTTCTGCATATGCCCCCGGACTGCCAAAACGGCGAAATGATGGTTTGCAGGATTCGCAGGGCAAGACTGGTAGTATGTAGTTGTTCGATCTTGCTCATGGATGCTCGTTTTCAAGCTTGCTATGTCGCAAGCTTTGAATAGCTTCCAGGCTTGCTCACAGCTCCATAGCCCATACTTGTTGTTTGTATAAAGTCCACCTCCTTTGCCAGGCATCAACCACCACATACCACTCATGATATTATATACTTAATGCTTGCTGCAAAATTGTACGTAGCCTTTCCGCGCACTGAGCCAGTTCGCTAGCCTTTCCCTCCTCCCACCGAGAGATCCCAACGGTGCCTGTTGCATGCTGGACCAGTTGCTCTCTGCGACCATGCCAGCAAAGCAAATGCGATCCACCTGGACCATCGGCAAGACGAGGAGACCGCGTGCGATGTTCTTTTTTCTTCCGCAAACACTGGCCCTCGGAGAATATATGTTAAGCTTCCCTCTAAAAACCAAGGGTTAACAGCGAAATTAATTAAATACTTCCATGTTTGCTGGAGGGAGGGTAGTGGAACTTCAGAATGAACGTTGTGCGAACTGGGCGACAGCCGCAAATTGCAAGTGGGCACAAGTCTTCCCCCAAAATCCTGCAGTGGTTCACAGTCGAATTTCAGAGCCACTGGTTTCAGGTGATGTGCCAAACGAAACACGACGAAACCCGCCTGATGTCTACGAGAGCCCGTGCAGAACTGCGGGGTGAACCTGCTGCTGAGGTGCAAGCGATGCTGCGATCCTGCTGTGTGTTTTACTGGAAGAATGACGAGACAAAACACAATAAGTGCCTTAGATTATACATATTATAATCGTATATATGTTCGGATGGATCATGATGGATCCCCACCTATAGGATGGTCCAGCTGGGGTTCGACCTTCAAGTCCTTTGCTGCAGGATTTCACGGCATTTGCCCAAAAGCTCCCTTCAACTGGCCTCAACAGGGCCGGCACTTACAGGGGGCCGGCCCCAAGGGGCTGTGTGAACCCACACCATCTGCGTACTTGCAGGATATGTTTGATTCTCCTGTACGAGGAGCAAGCTTCCAATAAAGTCTTTTATGATAAGAGTTCTACCACCTGATGATATACCTTTTCCCTCCGGATTGCAACAAAATCCTTAAACACCTGGCTTACCAACGCAACAACTAAGATAGAACTCCGACCTCGGCACAAAATGGATGGTTCGATGTCACAAGTTTTGGCAAGAGTAGTGGACGAAACAGGACACCAACTCCACTCCCAAAAACAAAACACACACACACACACACACCAGGGTCATCCTCAATGGGTGTCCAATAGACTACCCTACCCTACTCACAGGTCTCCATTTGGCACCCGTTGGAAGTGCTAGACACACATGTTCCTTGATGTTCCCTGTCTCAACATCAACACCTTGCCCACCTGATGTCGCAACACCTCCGCTTTTGAAGACTCGCCCTTCTGGGCTTCCTGGCTGTGTCTGAAGAAAGTGAGCCCACCTGAGTGGCTGGGACTGCCCCATCGGGACCGGTTTCAGTCGGTTTTGGGGTGTCACAAAGTGGATGGGGAGAAAATAACACCCAACTGGGTGTGGGTGAGTTGTGGGCTTTTGTATTTGTTCTTGCCAGTTGTGGAGACTTGGACTTGGAGGTCTTCAATCATAGGACTCACCGCCAAAACCTTCCAAAGAGTTCCCTTCAATGGACAACATCTCAAGTAATTATGTGCGATAAAACACAGGCAAAACAAGAGCTATGTCTATAGTTGTTGTTTCTCAAAATGTCTCACATCTTCTGTAGCATTCTGTAGCTGCACTCGTGTCTTGTACTCGTTTGTCTCGTGGCGTGTTTGTTCCTCTCTATGCCGGTCCCACCCGTTGCTCTGCGGCGGCGACTGTTGCGCATAGGCCTCGCTGGAGGCTTTCCGCCTCGGCGGGCCCAAGCTGTGAAACCGCCAGCCATGAAGAGGTTGCTACAGGCAACGGACCAAGTCCTTACCCAAAACCATGAAATCATTAGTAATCCATGGGGGAAACTAAGGCATGCCATGGTCGTTTCCCTGTATTTGGCGCCAGGATCCAAGATGGAATTGGACCTAAAATGGGCATCCCTTTGACTTGTGGGCGTCCCTCTTCCAGCCAGGGCAGTGGACTTGCGTTGACTGAGGGTATGATGGACATTACATTAAATCGCAGGATCAACAGGATCAACCAACATATCCCGAACACTCCATGTATGGCATATCTACCTGTACATTGGTTACACTGTTACACCCTGGGCCCAACCACCCCAATGCATGTATATTTGGGATATGACTGGCCTAGTCATAGTCAGTCCAAAAACATATAGTTTCAGCATGTTTCAGCAGCTTCTTCGGATCACCTTAGCTCCCCCCCCGGCAGGTTTAGAAGCCAAAACTTTTGGAGCCAAGGACGTAGGTCTTTGCAAAACCCTGAGTGCTTGGCCAGGAACATCATGAGCAACAAGTTGCTCAGGTCACGGAACATCCCCCCCAAAGTGAGCTGATGCTTTTTCTTAGAAATTCAACATGGCCAGCTGGCCAGTAGGAGGACCTTCACCCCAACCTAGTGTGGATGACAAAAAATATACACTTTCTGATCTTTGGTCCCCCAGGTGGTGCTTTGGTCCCCAGCTGAGTGTCCACTCGCCCCCTCACAGGTCGCAAGCGTCACGCACCTCGGGCGTCACGGGACTCCCGGCACCTCGGTGTTGAGCACAGGGCCTGATTCGGCCGCGGTCCGAGAGGCATCTGTCGTGAGGCACGGTGGCTTGAACGACACCGTTTTCGCGCGGTGAGTCGGTGATGCGGACCAATGATGTTAAGGATCCTCAAGGAATAATTGGTCAGGGATGGTTGGTGCTTTTGGATTGACTTGTAAACTTCGGTTAGGACAATTTTAGGACACAGAACTAAAAACATAACCCAATTTCCGTAGTCATCCGATATTCCAAAAACCACAACTTTTCGAAGGGGCGCAAAAGGTGCACCTTGCCACCACCCTAGACCCTTCAGTGGACAATGAATGGTGGGCACAAAGGCCTCCACTAAAGATAGCCTTAGCCGCAGGCTGCCTTAGCTCTAGCGACTTGCTGGAATATATGAGTGCTGCAGAATGATACCAAATCCTACAAAAAAACATAAGTCGTTGCACCCCATGGCCCCTGACTCCCCCATTCGTACGTGATGATTGAGATCTCCCCATTGGGCGGGCCCATGGACCGGAGATCGGAATCGGTGAGTTCACCGAGCCCCATGGGCTAATTGATTGGGGAACAGGCTCGGAAGGCGAACTACCATCTACAACCCCCCCAAATGTTCCAGGCAAATGAGAATACATATATATATATATATATATCTACACCCTGGTGACACTCCATGTATGCCATATTTACATACAATGACCCCCAAAACCACCCCAATCTAGGCATATATGGCATACATGGAGTGTCTGGGATATATACCATTATATATACCTGCACCCTGGTGACTGCAAACATGCCAATCCCAATGGAGTGTCTGAAATCTATCACTTGACGGTCTTCAAAACTATGGGGAGAGCACAATCTAGTAAGGACTTGTCCTTTGTCGACAACACATGGAAATGACAAGTCCTTAATACAAAGCCTCAAACTGGAACTCAAACATATATTTATTAAAGAATGTTCTATTTGTTCCAGCAGTGAGGCGAGTGATGAGTGCAGGGGCACCCTCACCCTCACCCCAACACATTAAAAGTGTCACGATCACATGCCCAAGTCTAAGTACTCCCTCAGAAGGTGGGTTAGCTTGCTAACCCTCAAATCTCCAGTATAGGTTGGGTATATCGGTAAATCCCATTGCCAGGGCCCAATGGATGAGGATGAGGATGAGGATGGGGATGAGGATGAGGATGAGGATGATGATGATGATGATGATGATGATGATGATGATGATGATGATGATGATGATGATGATGATGATGATGATGATGATGAT